GCCACCTTTGTCCCCGTTGGGGATGTGGCAGCGCCGGCGGGCCTGGTGCGAGCGGGGCCGGGGCAGCGGCCGGAGGTGCCGGAGCAGCCCGAGCGGCGCCCGCCGCGCCGTTATGCGGGAGGCGGCCCGGAGCGACGGGGAAAGGGGGACGGGCAGGGAACAGAGGGGGACGGGAGGGGGAAAGGAGGGGAGGGGAAGGGTCCGCCGCGCCCGCCCGCAGCCCGAGGCCCCGCTGCCCGCGCCCGTCCCGCCCCGGCACTCACGTCGAGAGCTTCCTGGTCCAGAAGAGCCCGCCGGGCCAGAGCTCCTGCAGCTGCACGGCGCGGGCCAGGTTGCCCTTGATGTGCTGGAGGAAGCGGGCGGCCTCGGCCTCCAGGCGCTCGCCGTAGGGCAGCAGCTTGTTGTAGACGATCTCCTTCTGCGGCGGCCGGGCCATGGTCGGCGCTGCCCGGGAAGGGCCGGTGGTGACCGCGGCCGCCGCGCCCCGCCCGCCCCGCTCCGCTCACTTCCGCCGGAAGGGGCCACGGGGCGGCTCCGGGAGCTCCGGGGGCAGCCGGGACGGGGCAGCGCCGCCGCCGGGACGGGGCAATGTCACCGCCGGGACGGGTCGCGGCGGGGCCGCGGGGCAGCCCCTGCGCGGGGGAGGCGGCGGCGGAGGGGCCGCGCCGCCCGCCCGCCCGGGCTCGGCGTCCGCGCTCGGCGCTCCGCGGGTGGTTCCGAAGCCCTTCGCCGTGTGGAGCTGCCGCCGCCCGCCCGCGTAATTCGGGGAGAACAGACACCCCCCCACCACCGGCTGCGCGCCCGAAAACCCCGGTGCGAGGCGGGGACGCGCTGGGGATGAGCCGCCGTCCCCGGAGGAGCTCGGGGCAGCACTGGGGAGCGCTCGGGTGACACGGCCCTGCCGGGTCACAGGTCGCGCTCGATGAGCTCACGGGTCTCTCTCCCGGCCTAATTGATGCGGTGATTCCGTAATTAGCCCCGCGGTTTGATAGCAGATTGCGCGGCCGCCTAAGAGGCTTATTTGAAATAATAACGCCAGGCGGGAGGGCAGAGCTCGCCCGCGGGCCGTGGGTGTGGGATAAACGCTGATGGATATGTGATAACGCCGCCGGTACCGCTGATAGCTGTTATCTCCAGCTGTCCTCGGTGGAATTGTTAATTGAATTTCCCCTCAAGAATTACATCGCGGCCATACAACAGCTGCAAACTGATTAGATTTAAAGCTACTGACAAGGGCAAATCCTGTTTTATGATCTTTATGCTCAAACTAGCTCTGCTTAAAATTAAAAAAAAAAATAAAATAAGGCTAACTAAATGCTGGAACACGTTAGGGGGAGGAGAGATGCCCCGGGAAACCTAAATATGACAAGCAAAGGCATCATCACGGCATTTTCCTGAGGAGTGCACTCGCACCATCTGTGCTTCTCACCCTCCTAGACCTGTGCTTTTAATAAAGGGAGCTCAATAATTTTGTTCAGTGTCCCAGACTTTTGAAACACCCCTCCGTTCCTAAAAGAACTTGTATCACGTGATCCTGGAGATTACATATCAACTTTTACATGATTACAAAATAGCTGGACTTTGTTATCGATTTTGTTGTGATTTGGAGGGTGTTTGCTGCCATCTTTCACGGGGACTTTACGATTCTGTTGCCCCATATCTACATGAGGCAAAACAATTCCCTGCCCTTTCCTGGCCTCAGTTACAAATGAAACTTGATCATGGTCAAATTTCTGTGGGGATAAAGAACACCTTGGTTTAGTGTTTTGCTGGTGAAAACAACAGGCAAAATTAATATGAAATGAGTAGTTTTATCACCAATTCACACAAGGATAAATTGGATAACTGACCCAGAAGCTGTAATAAAAGCCCAATATCTGTGGATAAGTGAAAATATACCTGTATTGAAACTGAAAAGTCTAAAATTACCTATTTTCTGTCACTCACACTCAATTCTTAATATTTAATATGTAATTGCAGTGGTGATTTGTTCGAACAGACATTTCCAGTGGGGGGAGTGTTTTGTAAATTTGAGGCAGGTAAAGTTTGTTTGGACTTGGAGGAAAATAAAATCCAAATTATACTCCAATTTTCTGCAATTGAAGTTGGCAGATACAGAAGGAACTTCAAAGCTGCATTCTGTTGCTTCATAGCCACGTTATAAAAAAATACTCCTCCCCTTTCTGACTCAGGTTGATTTTTCACACATTTTGGAGTATTTTGCAATGTGAGTGAGCACCTCTGGCCTCAGGGAGCATATTTTGTCTGAACCAACAAGCCACCTCCTCACCTGTGACCTCAGACACACAAGTGCCTTCCACCAGAATGAAACACCTTTTGGGGGAAAACATGCCAAGTGTACACTGCAGACTGTCATCCTACTAACTCCTCCTTCTCAGGAATATGACTCCTCTTTTCAGAGTTTGAAACAAGAGAAAAGGAGATTCCTAGTCTACAATAGTAAGCAGACATACAGTACTTGCATTTTGAATGTATTTCCTGCATATTGATCAATTTAATAATTATATTTAATAATTATTTTTAAAGTATCCTTTCCCCCTCTTTGTTATGCTGCCATTCTGCTTTATAAAGTGGGTACAAAAAATGATAAATTTTGCCAAGTGAGTCAAAAATAAACATGTTCTTGGAGTTTGCAATGTGTTTTGGCTGCAGCAGTGCGTGAGAGCACATTTGGTTCCCAAGTCACGTGAGGGAGGACGGGCCTCTCACAACACAGGACCTGTCTGTGCTTCTTGCATCAACAGCTTTTTTTCCTCTCTTATTAAGAGTAGGAGGAAGAATGTGAGTTGCCAGCAACCCAAATATGGTTGCCACCTGTTGGTTTTGGCACCAAATCCTGAGAATTGATGGAGCTGGGCGTTGTGGTTGCGAAGAAAATACAACCTTTCCATTCATGAGCAGTTCTGGGTGGTGACGGTGGCTCGGGGCACACGGGGGGTTGTTGGCACGTTCCCTTCTCGGACGGTGCCCGGGGGAGCCAACACCAGCACTGGCACAGGGATTTGGGAACTTGGCACTCAGCCTTAGCCCTGGTTTCCACTGTCTCAGCTCTCCAGCGGCTGCTTTTCTGATAAAGGTGCCCTGGCACAGTTTTCCCAGAGCAGCTGTGGCTGCCTCATCCCTGGAAGTGTCCAAGGCCAGGTTGGAGCAGCCTGGGATGGTGGAAGGGGTTGGAACTGGAGGATCCTTAAGCTCCCTTCCAACCCAAACCATTCTGTGATGTTACAGTTTGGAAAAGAATAGCCAATCCAACAGGAGCTTCATGTTACCTGTGTCCTACCTGGCCTGGTCTGTGACCCCCCCCAAAATCTCACAAATCCCCATTATAGAAATACAGGGGAATAACTTGCTTTTTGATGAGGATCCCTTTCCCTCATCCCAGTGTTGCTAAATTGTTCAGTCACCCAAAGCTGGCACTGAAAGGTGCCAAAGGGACAACTTAGAAACACGCCTATTACATAAAGTTCTATTTTACAGAGAATTTGTCTATTTGGGGGATGAGGACAAGAATGATTTCAGCATCTGAACGAGGTGCCAAGGAACTTGAGCTTCCTGTGTAGTATGGGACAGAAATAGGCTCTTCTAAAGCGTGATTCAGAGGAACTAATTTTAGGTCCCTAAAATGGGGCTGCCAAAATACTCTATGACATGTTTCAAGTTGGATGGGGAGGTGGGTTCAGTGTCACCTACAGCACAGAGGCTGAACATTGGGCTGTTTCTGCAATGCCTGGTTAAATCTATATGTTCTAATAAAAGTGGAACATTTCTCATTTCAGCCTCTGCTGAGCAGAAATAAGAGGCACTTAGGAAGGGGTTAAAGTGTTATTATGGGCACCTACATGATTTGTAAAACTTTACTGCATAGACAAGGCTGAGAAAATATGTGCAACACTGTTATCCTGCACTTTACATTCCCAGTGGTTCATCCACCCTCAGTTATATCCATTCACAAGATGCTGTTTGGCCTCCACTCTTTCCCAACTGAAGTTAGTGGGTTACTGTTCTTACAATGGACACTCACTGCTTGTACAAAAACAGGACCTAAATCCTCCTTGGGGAAATAAATTAATTTGCAGCAAAGCTTGTTTTCCCTCTCCACTTCCTGGATTTGTTCTCTTTGGGTGCCTTATTGCCCAAGATTTGGAAAGCAAAATTGTCTCAAATCCACACAAGAGAATCTGCCTTTGACAGTCTGTTTCCTCCACATGTCTGAAACTCCCAAAGATATCCCTGGAAACTATTGTGCCTGCAGGGAGAAAAAAGCAAGAGGCTTGAGCCTCATTATGAGAGGCTCCTTCCAAATTACTCACAGCCATTTGAAATACATAATAATTCCCTGGACACGACAGAAATGCAGCCAATTTTGGGGAAAGAGACATTACTTTTTTTTTTCCCCTTTTCCTTTTGAGCCACTGAGATGGATTTTTGTGCCTCACTGTCTTGCCAAACAGAAACCAGCTGCAGAGGAGCATGTGATGACAGTGAACTCCCAAAGGTCAATCCTAGGGATTCTGCTGTTCTAGGAAATCAAGGAAGCACAGTCCCTTGGCAGCCTGCAGTCACTCACACACAAACTGCTCCTTATGGACTGGGGTGTTCCAAGCAGCTGCCTGTGTTTGCCAGAGCAGGATTGTGACACACTTTACCCAAGTGCTTGGGTAGCTGATGGTATTTATTGTTTTTTTCAGTGGCCAGTGTGTCTGTTGCAGCTTCATTTGCAGTTCCCAGTCCTCCAGTTTTGTCTGTTTATAATCAAGAGGAGACATTGGTAATGTCTATTAAAGGAAAAAAAACCATATAATATTTGTTCTCCCAAGCCAGGATAAATCAAATAACAGGCAAAACCCTTTGCTCAGGTTTCCAGCCTTGTTTCCAGCAGCATTCAGCACAAATCACTGCTGTGTTTATCACGGCCTTAACTCCAGTGGTTGTTCAGGCTTTGATTGTTTGGGTGGATTGAGTGTGCACTGTTTGGACGTGTGGATCAGAAGTATTTAAATATTTATGAATTCTGGAAGAGGAGCAAGCTCACTTAAACATTCCCTTAAGCAATCAATCCTTTCTCTCCTGCTAAAGAATTACTTATCCTTTGCTCCGGGTTTTGTGCCTGGAATCTGCACGGGAGACTTCCTGGCACGTTTCTATAAAGCAGCAGCTTCTCTCCTGGGATGTTATGGAGAGACACCCAGCAGATTAACAGCCCTCTGAGAGGATCACATGGAGCAAACTCAGAGCTATCCAGGATTCATTTGGGCTAACGTGGCATGTTGTTTATGCCCATGTCCCAGTAATGTGGGGATAATAACTGTAATTGTGTCGGGGGCGTGATTATGGCAATGCCAGTCCTGCTGACTAACACTGAGACTCAAGGAACTCTAAAGTGGTTTATTATTGTCTCAGGTGTCCCATTAAGAAGAGCTCAAGGTGAAACAATGACTGTAAATTAACAGCCTTGGAAATATAACTGTCAGAAAGGCTGTTTAGGGTAGAAGGAATGTTCCAATTAAAGAACGCTGCAGGCCTGTAAATTCAGAGGAACCCCAGGGAGAGGGAAAAGTCTCTTTTGCCACGTTTGCCTGTTGTTGCTTTGAGGCCAAGCCCGGTGGAAAACTGGTTTAGTCCAAAGCCAGGTTTAGTCCAAAGCCAGGTTTAGTCCAAAGCCATCAGCTGCCCTTCTGCTGGGCAAAGTACCAAGAACTGGGGGAAAGAACCAAGGGGGTTTAAAAATTCAAGTGAGAAAGACAATCTGCCTGGAACAAAAAGAGCAGAAAAAAACAGCTTGTAATCTGCAGAAAGGGCTCTGCAGGACAATCCGGTGGGCGTCGACTGTTGATGTGATACCACTATCTCCAACCCCCACGTGTTTTCCTGCTCAGTATCATTGCAAGGGACGGATGCAGAACCTGATTCATGCTTGCCTGGCCTTGCCAAATGCACTCCCAAATCCTGTAACCGTGCTCTGAATTAATCTGCTTACCCAAAAGACATAGCTGGGGAAACGGTTGTCCTTGGAGATTCCAGCTCCCTTCGCCCGGGAAAGATGGAGCCATCAGCATTTCTGGAATGGCGTTAGCAGGAGGCTTGACAGGCTCTGAAACTAGAAGAAACTGGGTCAGAGTCACCCTGGTTCTCCCCAGATATCCCCAGCAAACGACCTGATGCCATCACACCTCTGCACAGAAGGTATGGTGGCATCCACCAGCTCTCCAGGAGCTTCTCACGGAGCAGCTGGTACCATCAGGGTGGCTTTGTTTAGTATTTCCTCTTGGCTGCCTCATCGGGACTCTTTAAAACTTGAATATTCCCTCAGATATTCTATTTTCTCTCTGGGCTCCCGGGCTCTGTGCCTTTTTCTCTCTCCAGGCCCTGCAAACGTTTATTTTCTCCAGGACAGCTTTCAGTTTCTTTCAGACTGACCTCAGCCTTTGCTGCGGAAGTGTGCGAGGACATTTTCCTGTGACAAGACTAAAAGTGAGAACTAAAGATTAAGAACTGGCTGTGCACACAATCTTACTTCCCTCCTGCATATTCTCCCTTTGCTTCAGTTCACAGGCAGACATCCTGAGTCATGGGCTATTTCGTTGTGCTTAATAGTGCTAAATTGGTTTTCCAACCCCTCATTCATCTGCTTTTTAAGCTCATTATGTTCTGGCATCGTGTTCTGCAGCCACAATTTCTGATTCATGCACAGTGGGAAAAGTTGTTCCCTTTTGATTGTCATAAAATTTTTATCTGGTGATTTTTATTTTTTTTTGGATGCCATGAGTTTTCCTATGGGAGAAATAACGAGGCCTCTTCACCATCCATGATTACATAGACCACAAAAATCACAGCCAAGAGAATCTTCCTTTGTCCAGATGCTGATTTTCACCAAATTCATCACAAGTTAATGTCTTTATAACATACTTTTGGCTGGAGTTCATCAGCAGATTCAAACTTGGAGAACGATATGGGAGCTTCTTCAGGGAAGAACTGTGATTCTTACCCATGTCCTCTTCCTGGTGCCAGGTCCTGCACCAGGGAATTATGGACCAGCAGGACCATGTGAAACCCTGTAATAACAGTAGAGAGCTCATTTTGTCCACTTCAACACAAATTGTCACTTAAGCCTTTGGAGTTATCCAGTTCCAAGTACTGGAGTAGAAGTCAGTTCAGTGAGACTGATGGCACAGGCTGCAGTGATACAGTTCAAGATCCCAAAATACTAATTAGGGTTTCTCTTTGTCGCTTGTGAGAAGAAATAAAGGTCTGATGCAGTTAAGGAGAATGAATCAAATGGTTTCACAGAGCAGCAGAATGTAATAGCTGTCAACCCACCTCCCTGAGAAACCATTCCTTTACCAGCCCACGCTCTTTTGTGCATTCTTAGATCTTTTGTAGAGCCCTAAATCCTCCCCATATCTGACAGTATTGTTCTGGCAGCTGTGGGAAGGGTGATGCCTACATTTCCTACATTTCAAGGGGAACAAAGAACTCACTGCCTTAAATGACCACATCTCCTCCTCGTCCTCAGCAGGTTGTGCAAGGAGGGAAAAATATAAGTTTCAGCAGCACCTCAGTGTGCTCCTCAAATTTTAATGAGTTTCCTGTGAATGGGTATTGCATAAATCAAATGTCAGACGAATCTCCTGCTTTCCTATCAAACCAGGTGATTAAGGCTTCGAATGTTCTCCTTCTAAATGTAAGAGGGAATTTCAACATTGTTTGCATGCAGAATAAACTTTCCCTGAATAACATTACTCCTGCCTGTTTGTTAGTTCAGAATCTAATTTATGTAAAACACCCAGGTCTTGGATTCACAGAATCAAAGTATTATTAGGGTTTAATTGTCCCTTTGTTCACAAACTGCTTACAAAGTTGGCTTTACATAAAATAACAATAAGTTACACTTATCCTCTGTAATGCCATTATCCCCACTAAATTTCAATCCTTTAAAATGAAGTCATTTAAATGGAGGCATTACAGTAGGTAAGTCTGTGTTTAGATTTAATCACCAAACCAAGACTGACTTGACCCTTTATGCCAGCAGAGGACTGACAGATTTACCCCCAAGTTACATCTGCTTCTCAATGCTTTAGGACTCAATAATTTATCAGTCACATTTCTGTTTGATATGAATTCCTTTTGCCACAGGACACATCAATTCACATGCTCATGTTTTAATTACCAACACTTTATGGGTTAAGGGAACTTACAAGTGATGATGCAACTTTCCAGGGTTGATTTCCTTATAGTAAGTATTTATTATTACCTAGTGGTTTAGCTCCTTATTATGATTTCAGATTAAAATTTTACTACTTACCTGAAGAGTCTTTCTTTTTATGTATCAGTGAAAACTTTTAAAAGCTTAATTTAGACTGAAAAAATCTGCACATTGTTTTCATGTGCTTTTGTTGGTGGAGGTTTAGGGTTTGTTGCCTTAGAGGAGTGTGAAAAAGTGTTAAGCAAACCAAGGACTTTGACAAGGCAACGATAAAAACATGTTGAAAAGTGAACAGAAGTTGAGTTTCATCAAATATTCATATATTTAGAAGATGTCAAACAAAATTATCGAGCTGTGAATAGGGTCACAAGCAGAAGAACTTTGGGCATTGCTACTCTAACTTAAAAAGTAAAAGCTCCTTTCAGAGAAACAGACAGTTGACAGGACTTTGTGCCCTAGACAGAATCAGGATATAACACAAAAATAAACCCAAACTAACGCAAAATCTACACCACGTAGTCTGGCCCCAGGAAAACAAGGGGCTCACAATTTTGTGTCTGTCACCAGAGAACTCGGGTGACTTTATGTAAGCAGCCCAGGATTTTGGAGCAGGAGAGGGACAAATTTAGGTCCCTGCACACAAAGTTTGGCTGCAGCCCTGCCACCTGATCTGTGTGGGCAGGACTCTCCCCCTGCACACGCTGCACTTGCCTGAGTGGGCTGCACAGGTGGGGTCCCTCCCACATGGATCAGGTTCCTGTCTCACAAACGGATCACGGGACAAGTGTTGTAACAGGTCACCTGCCTGTGCCATGGGCACGCTGTGGATTCACCTGTGGCGTCATCAATCACTCACCCAAGCCAGCACTGCAACAATTGTTGTTTGTTGTCTGCCCATTATTACTGCCCCATTGTTATTTTTTATTTGTCCAGAAGGTGATCAAGTCCTCTTTCGAAAGCAAACACAGTATTTCTTTCAACCTTTCCTTTGACGTTTTTCTTTGGGCCACACAGCAATGATTGAAACATAAGTAACCAGGTAGATCCTCCTCAAAGGTTTTATGAAATTTATGGGCTTGAATTTAAATTTTCACAGTTCTACTGCACAGAGTAAGTTTTCATTTATCCTACAGTTAAAGAACACAATTCCCTCCTGTGTTGTTCTGCTTTAACATGAGATTTCATTTTCACCAGGCACTACTTTATTTTGTGGCTTATTAACTTAGGTCCAGACGCTTTCTTTTAACAGACCCCCTTTTCCTACACAGTGCTCAGACTCTCTATGGTATAGGAATATAAAGCCTCAAGCTTGACTTGAGTTGACACTTTTACATCCATTCCACTTGGTTTTTAATTCCCTCTAGGTGAGCTGACTCATGGCTACTGGCAGCAGTGCTGGCAGACCCCTTACAGGGGTCCCTTACAGCACCAGGAACACTCCCTTGTCTGGTGCTAAAGCTTATGGAGTAAAAGTTATTTTATGTTTATTTTTGCACAGGCATAACATTTCTATTCAGCAATCCTGAAAAAAAATATTGTTTTATATCTTAGACTGAAGAAGGCAGACTAAAGCTCTCTAAGAAGCCCTCTGTGAGTTTGCCCTGCACTTCAGGCTTCCAAATCTTATCTTTAGTGCTGGAAAGAAGAAAGTTACTGATAACCAGTGAACTGCACAAAAAAAATTGGGAGGTTAAGCCTTCAAAGGGTTTTCAGTGTATTTAGATGTGATGTAAATAAGGACTGCAAAAAAGGCCCTGAAGAAGCTTGTGCAGCTTTGAAGCAGAGTCAGCAATCCTATTAACTTTCATTCAGAAATAAAGTTATGGGAGATAATGCAACTTAGGAGAGGAAAACACCATAGAGGAACAAGGAAAAGAGGAAGGGAAGAAGTTTATAATTTTGCTTGAAAAAGAAAACATCAAAGAAGGGCAGTGCATTATCTTGAAGGGAAGAAAATAAAAACTGATGTGCAATAGAGTTTGTAAAAAAGAAGTAGAAAAAAAAGAAGGTGAAAACACCAAACTAAGCTTACATAGCTTAGGTCTAATCTCCCCAACCAGCCTCACCTGGACCCACTCAGCCTCACCTGGACCCAACCAGCCTCACCTGGACCCAACCAGCCTCACCTGGGGCCTGACCACACCCCCTCTGCCCCTTGGTGCAGGAGCTGTATTTAAGCTCAGGGCTGAGCAGAGCTGTTCCTTGGGAGTCCCAGGCAGGCTTGTCTTTGGTGCAGTTCTCAGCTTTTCCTCTTGGCTGGACCCTGCCTGGAAGTTGTAGCTGTGTTTCCAGCCCAGCCTTCTGCTCCTGGAGGGATCCTGCTGCCACCCCCTGGCTCTGTCTGCCCAGGTACTGTGAGACTGTTGTTACTGCTGTGCTGAGGTTGCTCCTTGCATTGCTGTGTTTGTGCTATTCCCTAATGTTTGGCTGTAACGGCACTATTATAAGTTTATGGTGTTTTCCAATAATAATATTTCTTGTTATGCCCTTTTTTTTATGCAACACTGTGGGTAAATATTTCTGTGCTTGGAGTTTTGGAAGGAATTTTTTACAGGTTTAATGCTCAGAGGAGGAGCAGTAGTGAAATTAGTCCTGCTTACAGTTGAGTTTTCCCAATTGTACAAAGCTTACCAGGGAACTCCCTGTTCTAGGCAGCTTCCAGAACAGAGGAACCCTTGTGTATGAGCTGAAGTTGTAGCAGTAGTTGTTCCTTGATAACACTGTGCTGAAAGTCAATCTGTGTATCAGAGGTGAGAATACAAAGCAGTGTCTTCTGCAAGAGGCAGAAGAATAAAAGCTGGTTAGCCCAGACCTGAATCACTAAGTGATCAGAACAGAAAAAGTGAAATTGCTGAGGTGAAATGAGAGAGGAATCTTAAAGAAGGAATTGCTGTGAGTGTAGTAAAGGCCTGGGCAAATTAGCACCACCATGATGTTGGAATTTACTGCAGCCTGGAATTTCTCACTCAGATTGGTTGTGACTGTTGCTGTTTTGCTTTAGTAACAAATAGGTTACCCTGATTTACCGAGTAGCAACAGGGAAGCTGGCAGCACTCTGAGACTCTGGGGTTCTATCTCTGTGTTATTGCAGCACAAATTCTGTCCATCCCAAAATACAGTTTGTTTGTTGCAGGTTCATAATTGTTTGCATTCTTCTGCAATATAATCAAAGAGTGTGTCCTGTGCCTCAACAGCTGGAGCTGTTTAGGACTCTTACAGTTGGTAGTAGCTTTAGGATGATGCTCCTTAAGCCAGTGTTGCCACTGTAGAATAAACACCTGGAAGTGGGGAAGGGAATTCAAAGCTTCATGCAGACTGTCTGCATTTCTTGGTAGTGTGTGCTAAAGCTTTTGTGTTAATTAAGGCATTTGAATAGTGTTTGATTACTAATATTGATTACTTTGGCTGTAAATTATGAAATGTTTCTAAGTCTCATCTTTTGGAGCTCTTCAGGCTCTGCTACTTGCCATGAAATAACGACAAACATGAGCTTGTCTGGGGGAAAGGTGGTGAGATGTTCTTTGTGGTGTAATTAGGCTGCTATTGTAAATCTATTTTTTACCTGTCTTGCTCTTCACTGCTGCCAGATGGCAGCAAATTACAAAGCGTTTTCTGTTTGTTCTGTGTCCCGTTGTTCTTTCTGTCAAATCCTCCTCTTTCAAAACAAAATGGTGCTGATTCCACACTAGTGAAATGTATGGCCCCTGTAAAAGGTAGGGGTTTAATCTATCATATTTTTAATGATAAAACTTTGTCTGTTGTGTTCCTATTTGCTGTGACACTGGAAGTTTTCTGATTTATGTGAATATTTGCATTCTGTGCTGAATTGGGTGGTTGTTTATCTAGTTAACTGGTGTGTCTTGAAAAAGTAATTTTATTATTTCTCTAGAGCTTTACGTATTTTTAGCCTCCCTCTAGTGTTGAGATCCAAACCTGTGAACAGTTTGGGTTCCGCTGCATTGCTGTAGGACAGAAGTTTGTGTGTGGAAGGGAATTGCTTAATGGGGAAAGCAAATAAAATTATTATTTTTATTGTGAAGTTGCCTTTACCTGCTGAGTAGGAGAAGGTTGAGTTTATCTTAGGCTGGTTAAATGCTGTTTCTCTGAAGAAATGATGCCTGGAAAAAATACAAACCTCAGTTCAGTTGCTTCCAACTATCACTTTTTGCAAGGGTACACAGGGAGATTGTTGGGAGTTATAAAAAAATCCTTCAGGGTTTTATTTTCTCAACAGAGAAAGAGTGAGGGTAAAACTTTCCTTTTGTGGATGGGCAATTATTAGTGCATGTTCTGCCAACTCCTTCCCCTCCAGGAATTGTTTCAAAACTGGACTCGGGTAAAGAGAAGGTGGCTTTGCACAGGAAACGGTGTTACACTTTCCAGTGAAGAGATTTATGTGTGATTTGTAGTCACTTTCTTCTGTTTTGTGTTTTTAAAGTGAAGTTGCTTACCTTGGGCTGCAAAATATTTACAAACCCTGAGAAATCTGTTGTTTTCCTAGAGGAAGTTTCTATTTTCTGAAAAGTTCTTCAATAACCTCTAAATATTTAGTAAACTCCATGTGCTGGTGCCACTGCTCTGGTTAATTTAGTGCAGAAAATTGACTGTGTGGGAAATCAGAGTTTGGTTTCCATTTGCTGGGATACTCTTTCATTTAAAAACACTCAGAGCAAATAAGTTGTTTTCAGTTTCTACTGCTTTGTGTCATGCTGGAAATCAATGTTTTCCTCTGATGTGGGAATAATGTGGCAATGCTGAAGTTGAAGTATGGGTTATTAAATTAGGGATTCTAGAACCTCCCTCTAGTGTTGAGATCCAAACCTGTGAACAGTTTGGGTTCTGCTGCATTGCTGTAGGACAAAAAGTTGCATGTGGAAGGGAGTTGCTTAATGGGGAAAGCAAATAAAATTATTTTGATTTGTATTGTAAAGTCACAGTTAACTTGCCTTTACCTGCTGATTAAGAGAAGGTCGAGTTTATTGGTTAAATGTTGATTCTAGTGTAAAATTCTGCCTGAAAACCCTTTTTTTTAAAAAAGCAAATATGGGGGGAAGAGTTAAAATGCAAGCAGCCATAGAACACTGGAGAAAAACCTTTGTGGTGTTCGGTTGCAGGCTCAGCTTACTAAATAACCAGGTTTTGACTTTGCTTTTGCACATGTGGCGTATAAATAAAAGAAATTACGTGGTGACACTTCTGGAGAGGTTTGCTAATGAAAACTGGAAGTTGGGTGAATAGTTTGCATGGGGTGAGTTTTCCGTCTCAAAGATCTGCTGCTCCAGCACAAGGGTTGAATAGGGAATAGAAATGGGCTGATAAATCTCTGGCTGAAGGTTTAAGTCATGTGGAGATGTGAGGGAGGTCTGTCACGCAGCTTTGATGGGGACGGATGCCAAAGATAAACTCAGGGTATTTTTGCAGTGTTTTAGCTGTGTTTCCACATTATCAGGCAAAATTACCTCAGTTCAGCCACGTATGGAGAACACTTTGTCTGGATGATTCCTGTAAATCCCTGAAAAAGCTTAATACCGTTTACCTGCGCGCTGGATGCTTGAGGTGGTAACTTCAAGTGAGTGAATACGCGGCAGCGTCAGCCCTGGAACTGGAGACGGTGATGTTAAAACTGTTCTCTCAAGGTATTTCTCATCTCAAACGGAAGCAAGAATAACGTGAGGGCTCTGAAGGATCGCACCGCACGCTGCGGCCGCTCGGGGGCTGTGGCTGCCCCTCAGGGGACCCTCACGGCGGGAGCGGTTTCCCGCCCTCGGTCCGTGAGGAGTTCTCCCTCCATTCCCAGGACGAGCGCTGTCACTCCTCGCTGTTAGGTGTTCCCCCCTCACGGAGGAACCGGTGTCTCCCTCCCTGCCAGGGCTCGGTTCGGAGGTGCCCCGACTCCCCCTCCCCTCACGTTCCCGTGAGGCGGCCGCCGACGCGGGAAGGTTGAGCCTCGCGCGCTCCCGTCCGGGCGCCGCCGGCCCGCGGAGCACCGGGCACCCGCCGCAGCCGCCTCTTCCTCCGGCGCTGCCATGTCCGCCCTGGCCAAAGCCTCCGGCGCGCTCAAGTCGGTGGATTACGAAGTGTTCGGGCGAGTGCAAGGTAATGGCGGGCTAAGGGCGAGGTGCGCTGAGGGGGGCGAGGGGCTCTCCCCGGTGAGGCGGCGGTGGGACCGCGCATGCGCGAGGCTCGAGCGCCCTGAGGGGAGAGGCGGGACCGGCAGCCCCGGCTCGTCCCCGTGGGACGGGAAAGGGTAAAAAAATAAAAAAATTTAAAAAAAAAAAAAAGGAAAAAAAAAAGTTGTGAGTGCTCCCCAGCTCTAAAACTCGGCTCCCCCCAAAGCACAGGCGGTTCTATGCGGAGCAGTTCCCAATAACCGCGTTTGCGCTCGTGGCTTCTGTCGGCGCGGTTGTGTGGGAAAGCCCCCCCCCATTCACACACTGCGGCGTCTTCATAAACATTAAATGTATCAATGGAGACAATCGTTTGCCGAAGGCCAGCGTGTTCCTAAGTTGCGTACAGTTTGTGTAGCGTTAATTTCGCAACCGTTCTGCAATTGATAAAATACCACGAATAACTACGATAGTGTGATGAAACGCCACAAATGACTTGTATGCAGCTTACTGCCCTTCTGTATCAAGCGAAATTCCTACAAGTAGCATGCTTTCGAATAACTTTAATACTTCTATTATCTTAATACTTATTTTCTTTCTGTTCTAGGTGTTTGTTTCAGGATGGTAAGGCAATACTGGATTTACCAGCTGTACTTTACAGTATAATATTTCCAGTGCTAAAAATACGGCAGCAGGTCTGTACAGTGTAAATATATCCAACCTGAACTTTGAGTTCTAGGTTAGATGGCTAAGTACTGCGAGTTGATCTAAAAGGAGAAAAACGGTTTTATATTAAAATGGGTTTTTAAAAGCTTATTAATGTGTAGTTTGTGCAGTATCTAAAGAATGTGTTTGGATTACTTATAACAACAAAAATGTTGCAACACATTGATCTTTAGAGAGGTTAAATCTGAAGTTTTCGATATTGGCTCCTGAAACAAGGATTTCCAGTTAAATTTTTTTAAAATGGTTATTTAGTACTTGTATTTAAGGAGACTTAGTGTGTGTCCTTGGAAAAATGTGCTACAAATAAACACTCTGTGGCTCACACCCCAGGTAAGTGTCTCCACCAGCTCTGAACATGCAGCAGGTAGTTTTACATTTCACAGAAACCCAGGAAACAATAGGACACATTTCAAATAAGAGCAGTTTTTGGTCTGAAAATAGTGGACAATGCTTAATATTAAACATAAAAATTTTATTTATAGGTTCTATGTATTGTGAAATAGTGCCAAATGGAAATGAATAGAGGATTACAGTAGATGTGTCTTGAATTTAATTATTCTATCAAGTGGGAAACTAAGTCTAAGCCTGCTTTGCCTCACAGTCCTCTTGAAAAACACTCTTTACAGTTAGCAATGCTTTTTTTTCCCTTGGCTAAATCTCCCCAAAACATATTTTCTCTTTTGAAGTGGAGTCATATTAACGTGAAGTTTGGCTTTTGACACTAGAATAAGTGTCTCAAGAGGCTGGTAATGCAGTGTGCACTGGAGACACATTCTAAAATGTTTGGTGGTTATTTCTCACCAAAATGTACTGAAAATTGTCGGATCTTGTTGTTAGAGATATTGGGTTGTTCTGTAATACAAGAAAAAAACCATGGGCCAGGTTATCTTATACCTCTTCAGTGTACAAAGAGGAGATACCTTTTAATGCAAATAAATTTATTTATTATTATAAATTAATGCAAATAAAGTTGTGTTATGGCTTTGTGTTTCTATTGTCCTACATTGAAGAAAAATTTAATGGATTTCTGCAAAACAGACTTTCCATTCCCTACCATTTCAGTGTTCAGAGACAAATTATGTTTATATGTTATATGTATTTGAAAAAATGAAAAAGAAGAAAAACTCTCAAGAAACAGGGTACTTGGAAATTGTGGGTTTCATCACAAGGAGTGAGTGACTGGGAAACCAGAATTTGTTGTGATATTGCAAAAATACTAGAAAACCAATATAATTGGATTTCCTGTAGTGCTATTTAGAAATGCAGCAGTTGGGGGTAAGATTTAAAGGGTGAAAGTCAGGTGGAAAGGATTTAAAAGGAAACTGGAGGAAAAGAACTCTGAAATGTGTAAGTGTAGCTAATTTAATGAGTTCAAACACTGGGGTGGTTGCATAGGGAAAGGAGCAGTGATAGGAGCTATGGAAAGGAATGAAGTGGGTGCAAGGGAATGCCGTGGGATTAGCAGAGTTCTTTGTGATCAAAATCTCCTCCTTTTTTGAGAATTGGCTGCTCCTGCTGCAGCTCCAGAGCTGACAGGAATATCTGGATGCCTGAGGATGAGTGTCACCCGTGGATTTTTATTAAGTGTGGCACTTTTTCCACAGTAACAGCTGTGAAAAATGAAAGTGTAGTGCTGGCACTGATTGTCCTCTCTCGTTATTTCCCAAACCAGTACACAGAAGAAGAAGCCAGGAAATTAGGAGTGGTTGGCTGGGTTAAAAACACCAGCCAAGGAACCGTGACAGGCCAAGTTCAGGGCCCAGAAGATAAAGTCAATGCAATGTAAGTATTTTTGTGGTCTCTTTTTTGTTTCTTAGTCTTACTAAAGTCATTTACAGCAGTGTTTTTAATAAAAACTGACAAGTGGATTCATGTGTCAGTAATGTAACAAGTGTTTTCAGCCAGTTTTGGAGGTAAGGAGATACATTCTTTAAGCTTGAAAAATAGTGTATATCATCACCCAGTGTTGCTTTCTAGTGTCACACAGTTGATCAGTGTGTGTCCTAAACATCATCACTTACTGTGAAATGAAGAAAAAGCCTTTATTTGGGGTTTTAATTCATCAAAACTTCTTTAAGAAACACACTGAAGAACTTCTTGAAATGCTTGTTCAGCCTGTACTTGAATCAATTTTATGCAAACTGTGTTTAAATGTTTTCTCCCTGATTTTAAAAAAACCTAATACATAAATACACACTTCAGCCAAGGCCTGTAGTCTCCACCATCTGGAAATAATTTCTTAAGTACTTTGGTGCCTTTAAAAGAATAGGTAATAATTTTCTCTATTAAATTGCCAATTTCTGGAAACTTAAAGCAATCGCTCTGAGGAAATAATGCCTGGAAAAAACACAAAGCCCAATTCAGTTGCTTCCAACTATCACTTTTTGCAAGGGTACACAGGGAGATTGTTGGGAGTTATAAAAAATCCTTCAGGACTTTGTTCTCTCAACAAAGAAAGAGTGAGGGTAAAACTTTCCTTTTGTGGATGGGCAATTATTAGTGCATGTTCTGCCAACTGCTTCCCATCCAGGAATTGCTTCAAAACTGGACTTAGGTAAAGAGAAGGTGGCTTTGCACAGAAAATGGTGTTACACTTTCCAGTGAAGAGATTTATATATGATTTGTAGTCACTTTCTTCTGTTTTGTGTTTTTAATGTGAAGTTGCTTACCTTGTGCTGCAAAATATTTACAAACCCTGAGGAATCTGTCGTTTTCCTAGAGGAAGTTTCTATCTATTTTCTGAAAGAACTTCTTCAATAACCTCTAAATATTTAGTAAACTCCATGTGCTGGTGCCACTGCTCTGGTTAATTTAGTGCACAAAATTGACTGTGTGGGAAATGAGAGTTTTGTTTTTATTTCTTGGGGTACTCTTTCATTTAAAAACACGCCTTCAGAGCAAATAAAAAGTTGTTTTCAGCTGCTGCTTCTTTATTTCATGTTGGACATACAGGCTGCAGGGTAAGATGCAACTTGGGAGGAACTGGAGGACAAACAGACTTAAAATATGATTATAATGAATTACTTTGAAAGGTGCAGTGCAAAATAGTTTCCTTTGGAGCAAACAGCTTGGCAGGGGCATCCTGGCTCTGCAAAAATCAGTGGGAAACTTGAAATAATTGTGGACTTTTGGGGGCCTGGAAAATGTTGCACGTGCAGGAAGTTGTATTGCTGATGGACCATCCAGTTAGTGTTGAATTTTCTGGGCAGTGGTGCTTGGGGAGCTGATTCCTTCTGTGGGGGTAAAATCTTTGTCACACCGAAAACTGGCAAAATGTCCTGACCTCCCCAAGCCTGGGACTGCAGTGGGAATGTCACTGAGCTGCAGGAAGCCCAAGGGATGGATGAAAATGTTTTGATATTATGGGTGTTTTCCATTGTTGTCTTCAGTTCGTTTTTAATGGAATTTTATTTTCTCAGATCCAGGTGAGTTTTGGATGATGTATTTTAGAGGCAATTTTTAATTTTAATTGGGAGGTTGCAGAGTGTTTTGGAAGGTGTTTTTAAGAAGTCTCAAGAACCTTCCTTACCTGTCAGCTTGCTTTAATATCCTGTTTAACTCTAGATGGAGCTGTTGGTTCTGCAAATCCCTTCACCCACCCATGCTCTGTTTGAAGGGATTCTATTTTTAGTCTGCCATGGTAGAATCCATCTTTTTCCTCACTACCTCTTTCCTTGCTGTATTTTATTGTCCTGTTCTGTTTGCTCCACATTGATCACACCCATTATCCTTTGATGCAAAAAGCCCATTTTCAGTGTTTTACCCGTGTGTAAACCAGAGAATACTCAAAGCACAAGAGAAGCAGAGTTGCACCATCCCTAAAACATAATAAATAAGTTTTTATGGTACACTGAAGGCTTTTTTCCCA